AGAAATATAAACTATTTTGCAAGGGGGGAGAAAAGCTAATGAAGAAAGTTGCCAAGAACAGATATTTTGTAATCTGTGCTAAATCTCTGCTGGAAAACATGAACAGTAACTAAGCTGAGAAGACAGTAAAAGAAATTCGGGGCAAGGTGCCAGACGCCCAGACGGAAGGAGAATGTGGACCAAAAGATTGCGACAATCGGGTAATTATGGTTTATGAATTTCAGCTTTAATCTGTAGTTCAGTGAGTCCTGATTAAATATCTGTTAAACACAATTAAAGTTTGTTTTTGTATTTCACCGTCTTGATCAGAATAATTAGAGACTGCGTGTTTCATGTCAAAAGTAGCAAGAGGAATTTTAGTGAATGAACATCGTTTTTAAAAGCCATTTGTAGCACCAGCTGTTGGCATTATTTTATATTTTAGTGTTATCAGCATAAAGATGGTCCTCTGGATGCTGAACAGTTTCCAGCAGGACAAGGATGTGAACACTGCTACTGTGGGCCTATGGTGGTGATGCTTAAACGATTAAGTGCTAATATTGGTTTGAAGAAGGGGAAAGGGGTAACTATAGGTCAGGGACAGGACCATATTTTAGGGAAGGGCAAAAGGAAGCAGCATCTACATTAAGGTCATGTGTGCAAATAACTGGTTGAAAGAGTTGCTGGAAGTGCAGATATTCTGCCATACCTCAATGTGCAGTACAGATGACTTGGACCAGTTATGTACAAGGAGTGATGGAAAGGAGGAAAGAGAAGGGGCAAGATGACATATGTTGGGACTCTATTGCACTGCCTCACCAGGAAATCTCACTCTTGTATCCCTAGAGTTGCTATAAGATGGTAGAGGGACATACCCAAAAAACATTCTTTAGAATGGAGATTATGTCATGAATACTGTATAAGGGAGACACTAGAATCTGCCATGGGGGCAATTGAGATCAAGTGAAGGGGATAACATGAGAATCCTATGAGGAAGCTGCCATCTTATTTCCACAGAAAGACACCTGAAGAAGAGGGAGTTTGTGAGTTGCCATTTATTTCCTTTAAATGAACTGTTAACTAAAGTTTGGTTTTTGTGACTGTGTCTTAATTAATAATAATAGCTGAACTTTGCATAATACTTTACAAATATTGGTACTTAGAGTAACCTTATGAGATAAGTACTATTATTATTTTCATTTTGCAAATGAGAAAACTGAGGCTTAGGCAGGTTAAGTGACTTGTCCATGGTTATACAACTGGTAAATGTAGAAGACAGGACTCTAACCTGGCCTCTCCTGACACAGTGTTTTCATTGCCCCATGCTTGGAATGATCTTACCTGTCCTCTCTGCCTCCTGGCTTCCCTAGTTTCCTTGAAGTCATAGGTAAAATTTCATTTTCTGCAGGAATTCTTTCCCAATCTCTTTTAATACTAATGACTTCCCTCTGTTAATTATTTCCTATTTGTCCTGCATATAGCTTGTTTGTGCTTATCTGTTTGCTGATTATCTCCCTTGTTAGACTGTGAGCTCCTTGAGGGCAGGGACTATGTTTTGCCTTTCTTTGTATCCCAGGCATTTATCGCAGTGCCTGCCACATAGTAGGTGCTTTATAAATGTTTATTGACTGATTGACACCATATTGCTTCTCTAATTATAGCAGAGACTGCACATTTCCAGGTTCAGGTCAGATAGAAGCAAAGGGAAGTACAGTAATTGTTGATAAATGTGGCAGATTCTATACATAAATAGCAGAATGTTCCAACAGGACGCTATTTGAAGTTTGGATGCCCAAGATATTATCATCCTCAAAGATTCACTAAGGAATTGTTTTCTTGAAAGTGTTTTCTATGAAATTTTTTTCTGGTATAGCAAGACCATGCCTATGTGAACTCATTATTCTAAAATCTCTTTTCCAAACTTGATTAAACCTTAATCTAATCCTTGTTGCTCCCTGTGAAATCTCTTGAGGTTGTATTGGCAGTGCACAAATTATGGAAGTTTGTAAGTTAAGAAACAAAAGACAGACCAATAAGCTCATGGTCATATTGCTTTCAACCACCTACTTGCAACAGTCCCTGAATGACAAGTTGCTTTGGGACTGGTTGCTTAGACCTACTTTGGGTCTTCTCTAACTTTGCTACCATTTCCCCCTGCCCTTTTCAGCTTCCTTTTGTGTGTTCTGTTCTTGTATTAGATTGTAAGCTCCTTGAGGGCAGGGACTGTCTTTATTGTATTTTAATCAATCAGTCGGTAAACATTTATTAAACAGCTGCTCTGTGCCAGGCAGTGTGCTAAACTCTGAAGGTACAAAAAGATGCAAAAGACAGGAGCCTACAACCAAATGGTTGAGACAACATGTAAACATATATATACAAAGCAGGCTACAGGTGGGAAAAATAGAAAATAATTAACAGAGGGAAACTAGAATTAAGAGGAGTTGGGGAAATCTTCCAGTAAAAGGTGCGATTTTAGTTGGGATTTAGCAGAAGCCAGGGGTGTCAGTAGGCAGAGCAGAGAAGAGAAAGCATTTTGAGTACAGGGGACAGCCAGAGAAAATGTTACGTGCTGAGAGATGGACTGCCTTGATTGTGGTACAGACAGAAGGCCAATGTCACTAAATCAAAGAGTACACATTGGGGAGTAAGGTATAAGAAGACTAGAGAAGTAGGAGGGGGAAGAGGTTGTGAAGGGCTTTGAATGACAGAGTATTTTGTATTTGATCCTGGAGGCTGTAGGGTGCCACTGGCTGAGTAGAGGGTGGATTAGAGTGGGGAGTAACTTGAGGCAGGCAAACCCACCAGCAGGCTATTACAGTTTTCCAAGGTAATGGTAATGAGCACCTGCTCTAGAGTAGAGGAAGAGAGAAGGAGGCATATCCAAGAGATGTTGCAGAGGTAAACTCGACATGCCATAGCACCACATTGGATATGGGGCATGAGAGAGAGTGAGGAGGCCAGGATGACTCCTAGGTTGGAAGCCTGTGGGACTAAGAGGACAGTGGTGCCCTCTACAGTAATAAAGAAGATAAAGGGGAGAGGGTTAGGGTGAAAGATAATGATAGATATAAAGCTGTGTAGATATCAATATATAATTTAATATAAATATAGATAGATATAAAGATTAAGATAATGTCCATTTTGGACATATTGAGTTTCAGATGTCTACTAGACGTCCAATCTGAGATGTCTGAAACACAGTGGAGCTATGAGATGGGAGGTCAGCAGAGAGTTTGGGGCAGGAAAGGTAGATTTGAGAATCATCAGCATAAAGATGCCAATTAAACCCATGGGAGCTGATGAGATCACCAAGTCAAATGGTATAAGAGAAAAGAGCCTAGGACCAGACCCTGAGAGACAACTATAGTTAGAGGGCATGATCTGGATCCAGCAAAGGAAACAGAGGAATGGTCAGATAGATGAGAACCAGGATAGAGTGGTGTCCCAAAACCTAGAGAGAAGAGTGTATGCAGGAGGAGAGAGTCAAAGACTGCAGAGAGGTCAAATAGAATGAAGATTGAGAAAAGACCCTTGGATTTGGCAACTAATAGATCATTAGTAACTTTGGAGAGGACAGTTTCAGTAGAACATAAGGTTGGAAGCTAAGGGATAAGAAGAGAGGGAAAGGAGAGAAAGCGAAGGCCTTTATTGTAGATGGCCTTTTCAAGAAGTTTAACTACAAAGGGCAGAAGAGATAAAGGATGATAGAGATGGAAGGATCAAGTGAGGTTTTTTTAATTTTTTGCCAGAGTAGGGGAATATGTGCACGTATAGGCAGCAGAAAATGTGCCAGTAGAGAGAAAGAGATTGAAAATAAGCGAGAGAGGGGTCAATCTACTGGAGGAAACAGGATGGATTTGAACAAGTAGAGGGGTCACCTTGGTGTGGAGTAAGGGCACTTCATCTTGTGAGACAGAGGTAAAGAAGGAGAGAGTAGCAGAAGGCATCTAAGTGATAAGAGGGGAGAGGAGGGAGCTCACAGCAAATGGTCTCAATTTTTTGGTAAAATATGAGGTTTCTAGCTGAGAAAGTAAGGGGAGGGGGAGCCATGGGAGGATTGAAAAGAGATGAAAAAGTCTGGAAGAGCCCCTGTGGAGAATGGGATAGTGAGTTGATAAGGGAGATTTAGTAAGATTACCTAGCAGCAGTGAGGGCTGCATTTGTATACCCAACACTTAACACAGTGCCTGGGACATAGTAGGTGCTTAGTGAATATTTATTGATTAATTGATTGATCATTCACCCCCTCACAGCTATTAAGTTGCCAAATCTTGCCAATTTCACTTTCACAGAAATCTTTCACATTTATCCTCTTTTTTCTCCTCATACCATAACCACAGTAGAGTTCAAGCCGTCATCAGTTCTCACCCAGACTATCGCAATAGCCTCCTGATTGATCTCCCTATATCTTGCCTTTACTGTCTTTAATCCATCCTTCACACAATAGGTGAACTGATATTCTTAACACACAAGTCTAATCATGTCACTCTTCTGCTCAAGAAGGTCCGTTAACTTCTTGCCTTTAGGATAAAAATACAAACTCCTCTATTTAGATTTTAAAGCCCTTTATATTCTGGCATCAGTTTATTTTCTGGGCTGATTACATACTACACCCCCTCATGCATTCTATGTTTCAGCTAAACTTGCTTGCTGTTCACTGTGCATGGCATCATGTCCTCAGTGCCTGGCCCATCGTAGGCCCCTAATAAACACTTGTTGATGAGCAAAGGAGCCTTCTCATGGGCAGTTCCCTATACTAATGAAATATTGATCCTGACAAATATTAGGAACATATGAGTGTATGTATCTGTGTATGATAGCTTATTATATATGCACATATATATGTATATATGTGTATGTGAACAGAATAAAATACGGGAAACATCTATTGTAAGATGCAGGGGAATACAGATTATTAATTAGCCATTAATTAGTCATTCCAAAGAAATATTAGTTGATCACTCCTTGACAAGGCACAGATACCAATAACTCAGTACTTGGTCTAAATCGTGATTTCATTCCTCTCAAGGAGCCTCTGAACTTTCAAACGTGCCATTTTGTCCACCACACAGCATAAGAAGGATATTTGCAGCACTTCAGGGTTGTTCTTCCCTAAGAGCATGAAACAGATGAGGACATGATGAATATGAAGTCAAATACAATGTTATAGAACAAACATATTAGGCTATTGAATTTGTAATGAATGAGAGAAAATGCAAGCTAAACAAAAACACTCTTAATAGATGTATGTTTCAGTTGTTATTTTGAATGGGGTTGAGGTTGCCAGTATACAGAATTACTTGGGGAAACAATGCACAGAGAAATCCATGGGGATCACCTCTGCTGCTGATATATTTGCACACAGACAAATAACTCCAAGAGCACATATTACCACTGAATTTCCACCAGCCATGAGTGTACTGGTACCACTCAGTAAAAAGTAACAGGCTTATTAGCAATTTGCATGAAAATAAATATATTCCATTCATTATGAAGAGGAAACCTGGAAGATCTCACATCTTCATCTCTGATCATTCATCCCAGTGGTTCTCAGGATGATCTGGTGGGTCTAGTGGGGTAGTTAAAAATCAGATTTTAACTGTTTTATCATAGCATGTGAAATAATACAATCTTACTTAATCATTGGATAAGAAAATTATTGTATCTATTGTCCTCTGTATATTAAAGAAAAATATATTTTCACAAAGGAACACAAACACTTTATCAGAGCTGGCAAGCAGAAATTTTGATCCTAACTTAAAAATTGTATGGCTTTTTTTTCTATATATACTGGCCACCTGATCCTTTATTATCAAGTTTTTTGCTGCCTCTTCTTGCCTCCAGGGCTATAGTAGCATAGTTAAAATCATAAGAAGGTTCTTCTCAGCAAATCCCCCAAAACAAACAGTGAATAATTGTTTTGTTTTGCTTTTCCATAGTTGTAGGATAATAGTTGAATGCTCTCACTTCCCAATTCCTTTCTTCTCCATGTAAATCAACTTTATTTTCATGAACTCTACAAAGACAGAATTCTTAGCAATTTCCTCCATAAGATAGAGTTAGGAGATCCTTGAACTCAAAACGCAATATATTTACCGCTGTATCATATGGAAAATGAGACATTTCTATGAGCAAGCATCCAAGGATTTCTGAGGTAGTATTTCAGTTAAACTCAGATCAATAAACATTTATTTATTAAATGCTTACTGTGTGGCAGACACTGTGCTAGGCACTGGGGATACAAACAAAAAGGAAAGACAGTCCCAGCCCTCATGCTGCTTCCACTCTAAAGGGGGAAAACAATACACAAAAGGGAACTGAAGGCTGAGGCCATCAGAGGATACTGGCTCAGGGCCATGACTATCCACGGAGCTGAAACTAAACAGAGCCACTGATGGAAAATGAAGTTACCTAGAAAGTTCTGAGCCTTCTATAAAGGCAGGCTTTGGGAGAAGTTGAATGCTCCACCCTCCAGGCCTCCAATCAGAGAGAAGAAACAGCTAGCATTTTGTACCAGTTCTTTCTGCTCGTTTCCAGAATTGTATTAGTGGTTAGAAAGTTAGAAAAAGCAAACTTGTTTTGGTCCTTTCTGTAAAAATAGAGATTAATATAAGACTAACCAAGTATTTAAGGAGACATGGCTTCTGTCAACTGTCACCATAGTATTGTGGGATTTAGAACTGAAGGGTTAGTAAGTTGTCTGCAGAAACTTAGCTGTTTTGTTTGTATCGACCAGTTTTGTAGAGGTTAACCAAAAGTTTGCCCTCCTTTCTTCCTTTATTTCCTCTTGCACAAGAGGGAACAAAACATGGTTTCTCCTTTTAGTCCTGCAAGAAAAAAAAATGAAAATGACCAACTTCTAACACTGGTACTGAAATAATCAACAAAAAGAAGCAGTTTTGTGGTTTGATTGCTTTGCAGAAACAGTCTCAAAGGAGGACATTATGCTAGACATGGCAGGTATTTGTTTGTTAGTGGAATTACACACAGTAATGAATATAGTATTTGAGTTTTAGTGAGACATGAATTGTTGCTCTGAAAATTAGTTCAGTTCTGATATTATCACTGTCACCCAGTTGAAATCCTTAAATGGGCCATAAATCACTATAAGTGCTATTGGAAGAATGTCCTTTGGAGCTACGAGAGTTTGTTGGTAATTATGGGTCAGCAATTCTGGGTCTAGTTACCATTTTCATGAATGACCTGGAAGACTATATTATTAGTATATTAATGAAATTCATAGATTATACTAATTGGAGAAGTACTACAATTATGTTGAAAGATACACCAAGTAGAAAAATCATTTCAAAGCTTAGTCAGTGGAAGAGAGAAACTTAGCAATAAGACTACAAGATATTGCTATAAAGTAGGTGCTAAAATACGTGAGAAAATTAGGTTTATAGTGAATGTCAAATGGACTGATGTGATTTTGTATTTCATAATCAGTCACTGTTTCACAAATAAAGAGGTGATGATTCCTGTGGTGATAACATTCCTGAAAGGTTCTTGTAGATTCTGTCGGCAGGGTGATATTGACATGGTGGATTAGGTCATAAGTAGTCCCATTGTATATACCCAAAATAATTAGGGAAATTCAACTAAAACATAAAGAACAACGATAAAAACTACTAAACTCACAACTTTCTGAAGTGATGACAAAATTATTGGCCCCCAGCAAGGGGAGATAGTAGAGGCTATATGTTCACCTTTCTCCTTATCCTTGTTTTTCCTCCTCAGGCTTGACAGTGCTCTTTTGAAAGCATCTCCCTCCTTTCATGGCATTCTTCTCTGTACTCAAACAGTTGTCACTAGAGAATCTGGGAAGGTGTATAAAATCTAAGTTATTTTCCCTAGATTTCAAGAACTTATAAGTACCAGTACTATCTTCACCAGCTCAAACTCCCTTATATTAATTTTTTTTAATTTTAATTTTAATTTATGGAATAAAACAAGCATTTCCATAACAGTACAATAAAAAAGATAATTGTACATGAAACTGCAGATCTACTATGCACAACTTGTTATTCCATTCAAATATACAACAAAATTGTCATGTAAATTTGTTTTTTTCTTCTTCCCTCCCCCTCTACCCTAGAGATGGCTGCCATTAGACACAAATAGATAGATAGATAGATAGATAGATAGATAGATAGATAGATAGATAGATAGATATACACATGTAAAATTATTCTATACATACTTCTATTTGTCAGTTCTTTCGCTGGATGTAGATAGCATCTTTCTTCATATGTCCTTTATAGGTTTTTTTCCATAACAAAGTACAATAAAAAAGATGATTACACATGAAACTGCAAATCTATTATGCACAACTTGCTATTCCTTTCAAATATACAACAAAATTATCATGTAAATTTCCTTTTTTTCTCCCCCCCCACCCTAGAGATGGATACCATTAGACACAAATAGGTGTATATATGTAAAATTACCCTATACATACTTTTCTATTTATCAGTTCTTTCTCTGGATGCAGATAGTGTCTTTCTTCATATGTCCTTTATAGTTAATTTGGGTATTTATAATAGTCAAAATAACTTGTTCACTCAAAGTCATTCTTAAAATAATATTGTTATTACTGTGTACAATGTTCTCTTGGTTCTGCTCATTTTGCTCTTCATTATTTCGTGCAAGTTTTTCCATGTTTTTCTCAAATCAGTGAGCTCATCATTTCTTATAGCACGGTAGTATTCCATCATAATTATATAACACAGCTTGTTTAGCCATTCCCCAATTGATAGGCATCCCTGCAATTTCCAGTTCTTTGCCGTCACAAAGAGAACTGCTTAAACATTTTAGAACATGCAGGTTATTTTCCTTTTCCCCTAATTATCTTCGTAAATAGACCAAGTAGTGGTATTGATGGGTCAAAGATGTCCAAACCCCAGTGCATTTCTATAGAAAAGATAATCAGGTATTATAATACTTCTTGGCTTCATGACACAGTGTCCCTTTGTATCCATCACTAAGTTAGACTGATGCTCCTTTCTGCCACTTCCCATTAGAAGTAGTCTCTGTGTACCAATAAATACCTTTTCTTTTTTGTCATCTAGCATGCTCTCCATCTTCAAATAGATTTCTCTCTCTACATTTGTATACTAGTACTTCTCAATTTATTTATTGCATGTGCATATTTCATTAACTATTGAGATCAATATAATTGTTAGAATTTTTTTTCCAAGAGAAGTCTTACCTCTTGAATATGGGTTATTACTACTAATAATAATGGCAAACATTTATGTAGCACTTTAAGGTTTGCAAATCTCTTTACTTGTATTATCTTATTGGATCATTACAACAACCCTGTGCTTTTATTATCCTCATTTTATAGATGAGGAAACTGAGACTGAAAGATATTAGATTACTTGCCCTAAGCACACAGCTAGGAAATATATGAGGGTAGGATTTACACTCAGGTCTTGCTGATTCCAAGTTAAGCATTTTGTACACTATATAGAGCTTTGCACTGGGAAGTTGATGGAGAGCCAACCCAGCCTAGAACTCCATTAATTTAAAGCTTTCTCCTATCCTCAATTATATCACTAGGTATTTTTCTTCAAATTGAATTGGTCACTATGAGTGAGAAGTTTGGTTTCCTTAATATGTTTTCCTTTAGCCAATTGGCCCTCATCCCCATAGTGCAGGTTGAAAAGTGTATGTGAGGAAATAAAAGTGGCCAGCTAGTGTTTGGTGAATGGGCACAAATATTAATCTCTAAAGAGTAAATTAAAATTTATCTCTAGTTTCTTGCTGCCCCTACTTCACCCTCATCACAAACAAAATTATTACCTGGGAAAAGAAAAGAATTGCTAAATCATTCTTGCAAGAAAAACAGCTGTCATTTAAATTTATAAATGAAGTCAAGGTTAATGGTGAAAGGATTGCACAGAACTTAAAAATCAAAGGTAATGTTAGAAAATAACATCAAAGACATATCAAAAATATGGTGGCCTTTCTAGAAGCTACAAGCCCTGCAGACACAGTGCCCCTATTAGAGCTATGGGAGAAGGGATCAAAGGAGCAATCACATGAGTATATTCAACCTACAAAGGATATCTGCAAAGAGAGGATGAAGAGACATGTTTTGGATGAAACTTTTATAGTGTTGAAACATTTACTTAAAGTGTGAGCAATCTATATAGTACAAGGGATCAGATCTCCCTATAGAAATACCAACTAAAAGCAAATGAAATCCAGAAGGTAAGAATAAAGGGTCAGTGTAGGATTAGATTCAGAAGGCAAAAGTGTGGACTGAACATATAAAAACTTTAAAGTATAAAGGGCTCTCCTTTTTTTGTGACTGTTTATAAGTGTTTTTTTTTCTTTAAAGAACATCCAAAGAAGGGAAGGCCACAGGGAGAAAACAAATAGCTATCTCTTCCCAAATCATGCTTATTCTGATGAAAAAATTGGTGTTTATATTGGGTAAAAGGATGCAGTTTCCTTCAATTGATAAGAGCAGAGGTAGAGAAGGGATTGAGAGGCAACAGTTTTTTTTTGTTATCTCCTGATGCATTTTTTGAATGACTCTGATCCAGCAGTCAGTATCAAGCTGCTTGAATCTATCCTACTGACTAGTCAAAACCTAAAGCTCACCTGTTTAGGACAATTAAAGTCAGCAGGGTCTGTGGCTCCCTCATCCAGTCTTATTGTAAGAGGTGTAAACAGCCACTTGTAATTTAGTGAGTAAGTGCAGGTCTTTCATAATGCACATACCATCCCCACTGAAAACGGATCAATTTCTTTGCTTGGCAGTGGCATTCTTAAGGCCTCTATGGAGCATTATCCCATGCCTGAGGGTCATTAGTCTTCCGTAGAAGCACTGACAGTTGTGATGAATGGCAGTACCTGGGAAGAAGACTGTTTGGATGTTTAAACAGATTACATTTTCCCTTATAGAGCAGTAAACATTAGATCACATCTTGGACCATCTACCTGTGTGGACAGTCAGGATAGATTCAGGGCAACTCAAGTATGAACTGAAGAGCATTGTTCCTAATGGGTGAGTGGGGCTAGTCTGTGCACATTGTCACTGATATCATGTGTGACACAAAGCAGTGGGTGATAGCCACATGCCTCTGCTGAGTTTCTTGGCTGTCAACAGGCACGAAAGTCCGTCCATCACCATTATCTACAACAAGACTCATTACCTGCCAGCCAGTAAACATCCCATTTACACCATCTGCAATGAATTAAAAAGTGACGAAAAGAATCAGGATCAGTTTGACTTGCAGTGTGATTGTCAAATTCATTTTCATCTCTGGAAGCTCTTCAGTTCTTGGAAAGGGGAATATTTGGGGGTCAGGGGGGTAGGAACATGATGAAGATGATTTCTCACACAGAAACAGCCTGACAGTGGCAGATCCTGGCAAATGTCAGACTTGTAACCAGGGATATGCCAACTTACAAATACAATGCCTTTACCGATTCCCATTTCCCCTCATGTACCCTCACTTTGGTTGTGGTGGTGTGTGAGTGCTAGGACTTATTTTTTGATGTCCCTGAATGGATGTCAACTACAGTGAGAGATAATTCATAAAAATGTATGTTTCAGCACAGACTCTGAGGCAGAGCCGTATGCAAGGAGGAAATGATGATTAGTTTCTAATTTACACATGCAGTGATCTCTTTGGCATGTGTGAATCCTGCTTCCTAGGCTAATGTTCTCTGTGCTGGTTCCCTTCCTTTAACAGTTGCGGAGGACGTTGAAGAAGGTACAGCGACCTATTGACACTTGAGCAGATATAATTTATATACAAACAAACTCTGTGTCTGACTGGATTGCCTGTGCTCTGTAATCCCATGGAGCAGATGTAAGAAGCACAAAATCAAGCAGGCTCTTGTGCCCAGACCTCGTTCTAGACAGCAGTGGGATTTGACATCCATTCATACACATCAGTTTATATTAGCAGAACCTCCTATTTTTCAGTCTTCCTTTCTCCTCATGGAATATTCCACAAATAAGAAGACAACTCTCATTCTTTCCCTCAAGATGGGGGTACTCAGAGCTGCCCAAGGAGATACAGTGAGTAAAGAGAGTGATTGTGTAATTTCTGTAATGAGGCTATTGAATGAAGGTGTGCCCCTTTGAAAGTAGCCTGATCTATACAATAGGATTTCACTCCTCAAAATACATCTTTTTACTCCCACAAATTGCCTTTGTGGAAATAACATAAAGAGAAGATTCTGCATTATCTCATATCCTTACGGAGAAATGGACAAGTGCTATGGGAAAGCTTTGTTGCTTTTAATCGTCTCTGGCACCCCTTGCCATCAATATTTCATTGAAGGAGCCCTTAGTTATCTTTAAAAAGGCACTCTAGTGAGAGACAAAGGGAAAGCAGAGAAAGTGATGACCTGTTCTGGTAAGGGTTATGTGTGTGCATTTGTTATTTGTTGTTGTTCATGTTTGTTTTTTGGTTTGGTTTTGTTTGTTTGTTTTGCTTGCTTGCTTATTAACCAAAAGGGCATATGACCTTGATCCTAAACATTTGAATACTAAGAGAGACAAAAGAATGCTAGAAAGTCATAAATACCTCTTAGATATTTCATTTATTCCAGTACGACAGGTTGGAATCTGAGCTTATCTCCGTTAAATATTCATCTTTTATGTTTTCAGGGGAAAAGGCCCAAGCTTTTGTATGGAAGCTTTTATAAGGCTGGTAACTTCAACCATGCCAAAACAAGGAAGAGAAATGTCATTTTGTGGGTAACAGGGAGACAGACTATTTTGCAGAACCTCAGAAAGGGGTAAGGAGGAGAGGGAGGTGGGGAATGAGTTTCATTCTCCTTGCCTCTTCCCATCTACCCTATCCCCTAAAGACTTTTTGTGCAATGCACTAATTCCACTGG